GTGACACAAATTTTAATTGTTTGGGATTTTACGGTGCTGCATTTTGGGAAGCTTCTCCTTGTTTTGGGACTCCTCCATGATCCCCAGAGTTTCCCGATCCCGTTCAGAGGAGGGCTGTGCAAAGTTATCGGCACGGCCACGGCATCGGCCACAGCGGTCCAGGGAGGTGCAGGGTTTGGTTAAAGGCTGCCACGAAGTCCTGCACACACACTTTTGGCAGATTTTAGCAGCCGGTCCAAGCTAATCTGGCTCTTCTAAACCTTGTCCTGCAGCGTTTGATGTGGTTCGTTAGCCAGTAAAATTACCAGGTGCCTTGAAACGCAGCACAGCGTCCCCAAAACGTGGCAGGACTTTTTCAGCTCCCATTTCATTTCCCAGCGCCCAGCAACGCATCTGCAAAATTGCGCCGTTTCATCCGTCTTCATTTCTGCTACAATCTTTTAATATTAATTACGGAGGAGTTATATTTTTATGTTCCTGCTAACTAGCAGGGTCTCAGGGCTTGGAAACCGTGGCCAGGAGGGCAGGTAGCTATCGAGAGAGCCGGATCGTTTAGCTGATGGTTGTTTTCCCCTGCAGCACCACGAGCCGTGCCGGGAGGGTGGGTTTAGGACAGAGCCCCCATCCCTGCGGGCAGCAGCCGAGGGCACAAGGCTCCTCCTGCACCCCGGCTCCATGGGGTTCATCGCACCAGAGCCAAAACCAGGGCACTTTTTGGGGGAAAAAGCATGGGTGTGAAACTGCTCGCATTCAGAGCAGAGGAGATCTTGGGTCTGGAGTTTTCCTTCTCTGCTATTTATGAACAGGAAGAAAAAAGTAAAAAAAAAGGTGCAAATGCCCACCTGTCCTTTCTCGTGCCAACAATATAAGGGGATAAGAGGAGCGGGGAGGTCTGAGCAGCGCAGCCTTTCCAAATGGCCACACCGAGGTCACGGCTGCAACCCCGCGGCCCCTGAGCAGCCCGGGCTGGGGGCAAGGGAGAAATATGGAGAGGAGCAAACCCGGAGCTATCAGAGTGCAGCAGCCGAGGGTCAGAATTTGCAGAGGTGGCAAATTCTGCCCGCAGTGAGGTGTCCTCAGCACAAGCATGGTGCTGCGGCCAAGGGCTGCTGCGTTATGGCTGGGGATCTTTGGCGAGCACCAGTCCATTGCACGGCAGCAGGTTTTCCACCTTCCCCTTCGCTTTTTATCCACAGACACTGTGTTCTCCAGCCACAGCAGCTCTTCTGGGCCTGGAAGCAAGTAAAACAGAGGGAAATAACTCGCTGCCCTTCATAAATGTGCTCGTCAAGCCGCGAGATGCCGGAGCTGCTCCTCGCTCCTCTTTTGGCCCTGTGCAGGAGCCGCTGGCGGAGGGGATGCGGACAGAGCCTCCCCTCGTGCTCCGGCTCAATTCAGAGAGGGGGCAATTAGGAAACGCACTTTTTTTGGTGGGGGGGATGGAAATGAAGGTCTTCTGCTTGTTGAACCAGACCCCTTCACACCGAGGGGAGCAGCGAGCAGCTCCAGGCTGAGCACGGGCACCAGAGGATGCTCGGCAGCTCCCGTGGCCGGGGACCCCCGGGCATCCTCCCGCACTCCTCGCTGCCTGCGAGCTTTCTCATTTTCGGGTGAGTCGAGAGAACCACCGAAACACAGGGGCTGCATTTTTTTTTTCTTTCTTTCTTTTTTTTTTTTTTTCTTCACTTCTCTTTGCCGCCCCGTCTCTGTCCAGCGTGTAATGGAAATTTTACCACAGACGCTTGCGATGAACAAACAGGAAGCCAGCAGAAAGTGTGGCAATTCGCTGTAGCCCGGCTCAACTCCTCTGAGCGCCGAGGAAGGCCATAAAAGCCGGCGTGGGGGCGGCTGGGGGGGGACAGAGCACGCATGGAGGGGCCGGGAGCCGCGGGGTGGCAGGTAAGGCAGCGCTGCCCGCGCCTTCTCCTCCTGCAGGGATTTCTCCTCGCTCCTGCCCATCCTCGCTGCATTTTCTGCTCGGCTCCTTCTTGCGATGGGGTTTGCTGGGGGGGCTCTGCTGCTCATGGCTGCTCTGTCCCACCCGTCCCCAAACTCAACCTTGCTGCTGGAAATTAATTCCATTTGGCTTTTTTTTTTTTTTTTTTCCCCAAACCCATATTGCAAAGCTTAGGCATGGGGGGTGATGGAGATGCAGCTGGCCCCATCCATGCACAGGGCACGGGAACATTTTGGGGCCCAAAGGGAGCGAGAAATCCAGAAAGGGACTGAAAATCGATCACAAATTCCTTTCTGCCTTTTCTGGCAGCTTCCAAGCCCTGCTCAGGCTTTACATTAAGGCCGTCGGTGCCGAAACTTGAAAAATCCTTCCCTTGGATTTTGCTGTTAGCTCTTTTTTTTTTTTTTTTTTGAATTGTTGAGTTTTTAATGCTCGTTTTCCCATGGTTGTGGGAAAGCCACTCTCTCATGGCTTCCCTTCCCCGGAGCAGCAGTTGGAAGCACCCCGTTGCATTGGGAAGCTGAAGCTGGGACGCGGATTTGGGGTCACGGCACAGCAAGACCCGGGGCAGGCCCTGCAGGAGCTCGCTCTGACGCTCCCCGAGCAAACTCGGAGCTGCTCCAGGAGGGCACATGCCAAAAAACCCTTCCTCCCTGCTCCTGTGGAGGCAAACCCAAATTTTTTTCCACCCACACCAAGGGCAGGATCAGCCCACTGGGATCTGGAGGTGCCGCAGAGCTTTGGGCTGAGCGGGGATTTCGGTCCCCGAGCGCTGAGCCAGGACCTGAGAGAAAATTTGGGGAGCACGGTGGGGACGTGGAGATTTGGGAAGGGGACAAATCCTGCAGGGCCTGGGGCTGGGCATGGATGGATGGTGGCAGGGCAGAGCCGAGGGGCTGATTCTCTGCTTTTTTCGCCAAAAGCTTGGTGGGACTGGGTAGGTGCAGGGCGCGGGGCGCGGGGCCGCGGCTGCCCAAGCGAGGGGCACCTCGAGGACTGTCTAACCTGAGAATGGTGAAAGATGAGGGTCAATCTCAGGTTCGTCAGCCCATGAGACGCCTTCTCCAGAGCGGGACGGGCAGCGCCGGCCCCGCGGCCGCCCCTGGTGCAGGGGGGAGATGTGGAAACGTGGCGGGGAGGGAAACGGCACTGGGATATTCTCACCAAAAAGAGTTTTTCTCACTCTTTGTGGAGTGGGGACGGGGAAAGGACCCGTTTTGGGGCAGGCAAGGCTCAGCACGTCCCAGCCGTGCCTCGGGAGAAGCTGCTGGAAGCTCGGCCACGCTTTAGCGCTTGCGCTCGCCGCCCCGTGCCCATCCCGCCGGCGGCTCCGGGTGCCAACAGCGCCTAATTGGGACCCCCCCGACCCCCACCACGGGCTGCGAGCCCCCGAGCGGAGCTGCGGGGCGGATTTGGAGGCTCTGGAAGCATCACAGCACGTCGCTCCCCGCAGCTCTGACGAGAGGAAGACGGCGCCGGCGCTGCCGGTGCCGGTAACGAGTCCCCAGGCACCGCTGGGGGCTGAGCGTGTCAGCGATTTACGGGGGGAGCAGCCAAAAAAAAAAAAAAAGGGGGTGTTTTTTTAAAAATTTTCCACCTCGAGTGGCTAAATACAACAAAAAAGCACAAGATGCACTCCTGGCCCCGCTGTCATTCCTGCGATTTAGTGACGAATCCTAAAGCAAAGGGGCAAGGAGGGAAATGTCCCCGTGCGGTGTTGGCCACGGGGATTTGGGGACGGACGCCCCGAGCCGCCTGTCCCCAGGAGCCGTGAAGCCTCAGCCCTCGTGCCTGCCCCACGGGATCAATCCCCACAGGCAGAGCAGCCCCAAAAGTGCTGAAAATCCCCCCAAAACAGCAGATTTCCAGCACCCATGAGAGGCCCGGCTCTGCCCCTCTGACCCCACAGCCGCAGGTATTTGGGGTCTGGGGGTGTCCCAGGAGCAGCAGAGGGTCCGGGATGGCCGCAGGGATGGGTCCCGAGGCACGAGGCAGCCACGGCTGCACCCAGCCCAATTTTGGTGCGAGAACCAACAATTTTGGCGTTTTTTGGTGATTTCAGGTGAAGGCCCTCGCACCACGCCCCAAGCACAAAGCGGGTGGGATCCGGGTGCCCCCCCCCCAGCCTCTCTGCTGTTATTTGGCAGCCTGTGGGGTGTGGGACCCCCCCCGCTGCCCTCCCCAAACCCCTTTCGCCCATCACTGCATGGCGATGCCCCAAGGAGCTGGGGGGGGCAGCAGGGCAATGGGGGGGCCTGGTGGGGGCAGTGGGGTTTGGGGGCGCTCGGTGGGATCCGAAACAGGTCCTGGGGCAGGGCAGGGTGGGGTTAAGTGTGGGAGGGATCCCCTCACACTCCCTCAGCCCCCCCCCCAATACGCCCCCACCCCTTTCCTCCCCAAACCCCCCCTTTTACCCCCTTTACCCCCAAACACCCCCATACACCCTCCATTTGCCCCCCCACTCCCCTTTTCACCCCCCAATCCCCCCCCACCCTCCCCTATCCCCCCCACCCCCCCATACACCCCCTTTCCCCCCCCCAAATCCCCCCATACACCCCCTTTCCCCCCCCTTAACCCCCCATATACCCCCCTTGTGTCCCCCCCCAGGCCCACCCCACGTCCCCCCACTATCCCCATCCCCCCCCACACCCCCAATTCCCCCTCCCCACCCCCCCATAACCCCCCCACCCCCCATTGCCCCCCCCAGATCCCATCCCCGTGCCCCCCCCCCGGGGCCGTTCAGCACCGCGGACAGCTCCAATTCCCCCCCCCACCCCCCCATAAGCTCCCTCCCCCCCCCCTTCCCCTCCCCATCACGTGTTTGGGTTTTTTTTTTTTGGGGGGGGGGGCACCGCCCCGGTTATAGCGCGGTCACGCGCCCGCCCCTATATAACGCGGGGCGGGGGGCGCGGCACCGGCACCGGCACCGGGAGCGGGTCCGGGAGCGGCGGCGGCAGCGGTGAGCGGGGAGGGGGGGGCACCGGGACCAGGCACCCCCCCCCCCCCCGTTAGAGGCTGCCCCGGGAGTGGAGGGGATGGGATGGGATGGGAGGGGGGGTCCCAAATCCCGGAGCGCGCTTTGGGGGGGGTCCCGGTCCCGTGTCCCGCTTGGGGGCGTCCCGGGGGGGGTCCCGCTCCTCGGGTATGGGGAGGGAATTTGGGGAGGGGGGGGGTCTCCATCCCCACTAAGGCGCTGCCCCAAATCCAGGGGGGGGTCCCGGGTTGTTGTTGTTTTTTTTTTTTGGGGGGGGGTCCTCGTGGTGGGCAGGGGTCCCCCCCCACCTCTCCGTGGGGTGCCCCCTGACGCTGTGGGGAAACTCGGGGGGTCTGGGGGCTGGGGGGGGGGGTCCTTTTTTTACAGGCATCCGGACCCCCTCCCTGCCCCCCCCACCCACCACCCTCGTGGAGCTCCCACCATGCGGCTCAGGATGATTTCGGCTGCCTCCATCCTCGTCCTGCTCTTCCTGCCCTCGGAGACCTCCTCGCCCCTGCAGTGGCCCCCCCCCAGGACTGCCCGGAGCCCCCCAACCCAATTGGGAAGCGTGGTCGGGAACCCCGAGACCACCCCCGGTACCCGCCGGCAACCCCCAACCCCACGGACAACCCCGGCTCTGCCAACCCCGGAGGGGAATTGGGGGGAGAGGGGGGGCAGCTTCAACCACCACGGTGGCCCCCCCCCCACGAGACCCCCGGGGGCTGCAGGCGGGCAAGAGGCGAGAGGGGAAACCCAACTCCCTGGACCTCACCTTCCACCTCCTGCGCGAGTTCCTGGAGATGTCCCGAGAGGAGAGACTGGCCCAGAAGGCGCTGAGCAATAAGCTGCTGCTGCAGAGTATAGGGAAGTGACTTTTGGGGGGGGGGTGAAGGGGATATCCCCCCCCCCCACCTTGACCGAAAAAAGCACCCAAGGGTGGCTGCGGTGGAGCAGAGAGGGGAAGCTGCTGCCCAGCCGTGTCCCGTGTGGTTGTGCATTAAAATCGCCCTCGCACCTGCCCCGTTGCCGTGCCCTCGTGTTCCCCCAGCCCATTTTTTTTTGGGGGGGGGTCCCTGGGTCTGAGCCCTTTGGGGCTGGGTTGAAGCATCCCATCTGTCTGCACACTGGGGAGGGGGTCAGGAGCACCCTCAAAATGCCCCCCCCCGCACCCCTCCGGCCACTTTGCAGCCAGGGTTTGGGGACGGTGACCCCGCACCAGATGCGGGTACGGGGTGTTCGCTGCCCTCCTGGATCTGCTCGGTCCCTGCAGCCCCAAAACTGGTGCTCCCGGACCCCGTGTGCGCTCTGCTCCCAAATTCCACCCAGAAAGATGGAAAAAAAAAACAAAATGTGCAGCGTTGGCACCTGGCAGGTGTTGAAGGGTTGAAGGAGGGCTCTGGGGGTGGAAACGGGAGCACAGCTGGGCTGGGGGCTGCGTCCCCCTGCCCTGTGCCCCGGTGCTGCTGCGATCGATCCCATGGGAGGAGGAACGGGGAGCCCGGGGGGGCTGCAGCAGGGTCGGGGCTGCCCCTGGGTGCACTCCGAGGCCGGGTCCTGCCCCAGGCAGATTTGGGGAGCTGTCACTGGCCCTGGCTCACAGCGGTGGTGATGCTCAGCGTGTGCGTCCTCTGGCCAGCGAGCCCAGAGGGTTTTGGGGTGATGGGGGCAGCCCGGAGCTGCAGTGTGGGGTGGACACACACATGTACACACGTGTGCACACACAGAGCTGCCATCAGCTCGCCACGAGGAGCAGGGTCAGGCTGGAGGCTGCGTTCGTCCCGGACACCTCGCGTCAAAGCCTCGCTCTGCTGATGTGCCCTGGGCTGCTTTTTTTTCCCCCACAAAAAGTACTTTTTCTCCCATTAACAAGAAAAGGTAAGGAATCCATCAAAGCAGTGATTAGCTCAAGGAAAAGGGAGGAACGGGTCGTTAAAACAGAGGCAGTGACGCAGCCTGAGGCAGGCGGCGCAGCTGGGGAGATCCAAGAAAGGGGGGGTCCTGGCTGCACGTGCTGGGGGTGCATCGTGGGACCACCCATCGTGGGCCCCCCCTGCCTCCAAGGCGCCCCCGTTGCTGCAGCCCGGGGGGTGTGCAGCAGCTCTGGGGGTGTTTTTCCTTCTGGGGGCTCAGAAGGGTCGCGCCGTTCAGCATCACGCAGCGGTGGGTCGGGGCTGAGCACGGGGACAGGGGGAGCTCTGGGGTCCCAGGGACAGCGAGGGAGGGGAGCTGCGTGAAATGAGGACAAATCAAGCTAAAAGTGCAGTTCTAGGAGGGCGCAGACTGCGCGCTGTGCCGGGAGGTGCTCTGAGGAGCAACGTGTGCTTCACTGCAGCAGCTCCGAGTTGGTTTTGTTGTGACCCCAGCCCCACCGGGGGGTGGGCACCGAGGTTCTCACACATCCCCCAGCAGCAGGAGGGGTCTGAGTCCCAAAGCACCACCCACCACGAGTGCCTTAGGATGGTGAAACCCCAACTTCAGATCTTTGGTAGGACAAACCCTTACCCTGCTGCAGCACAAACGGGCTGAGAGCTGAGCAGAGCTGGTAGGAAAGGGGAAATCCAGCACTTCACCACCACTGGGGGACAGCAGAACCGATGTCGATCGAAGGGCACCACGTCGCAGGGTTAAACTGTACGAGACCACGCACCGGGAACATTTATGGCCCCACACACCAGGGCTGTGCTACCTCCTCCTGACTTTGGGAATCACAGAAACCTCCCCGCAGCTCTCGGTGACAGACTGGAGCACGCGGGTACGGAAAGAAGCAGCCCACGCGTAGTTCTGCATTGAAAACATTTATTTTACAACAGTGGTTTCAGATAACTTAGCAGTCTTTATTTTAGTTTATATTCAGACGTACGATACACAAAACTACCATGCTAGAACATAAAATAATTCCTTCTGCTGGAACTGCGGGTATGTACAGGAGCTCAGTAGTATCGAGTGTTACAATCCACAAGGTTCGGACAGCCACATCTACTTACATACAGTTCAAAGTATGGTCCTTTAGTAACATAACAAAATATATATATGTCTATATTATAATTGCTTCTCAAATGCATTCATACTTCGATTGTGTTTTTTTTTTTTTTTGTCTTTTTTACAACTTTTTTTTTTGTTTTTAAAGACGGGCTCCCCCCACCCCGCCCCGCCCGAGGTGAAGTACAGTGCAAACGCCGAACGCATTCCCTCCTCCTGCCGTCCTCAGCTCCCTCAGGCTTCGGAAAGAGGCCAGTACAACACAACCCCGTGATGAATTACTTAGCTCAGGGCCCTGCTCACATGCAAAATTAATAGAAACCGCCTTGGATGAGCTGATAACGCAAAGCAAACGACCCACGCCCAGCCCAAAAAAAAAAGTGGGAGAAGGTGGGGACGAGCAGAGGAAGGGATGACAGCAACTGGCTCACGTGGCGCACGCCCAAACGAGGACACGGCGAGGCTCTGGGACTTGGCAAGAGGCAGAGTTCATCGACTGCGTGGGACACGGACAGAACGAGAAAGGTGGGCGCAGGAGGTGGGATCCCCCCACCTGCTGCATGGAAACCCACCGTGGAAGCTCACGCTCTGCATCAGGCATCAGCTCCTGGGGTGCAGGCTCGGCTGCGCTCTCCACCCGGCACGAGCAGCAGCAACCCGGTGGCACCCCCACAAACTAACTGCAGTTTGGTGACTTGCAAGAGCTCCCCGGCTTACGAGCCCGACCTGCAAACACTGCAAATTGAGCAGCTGGAGCAGGCTGTGCCAAAACACTGTTAGAGTTTTAATTCACCCTAGCAAGGAGGGAAGATTTTGGGAGTAAAGGTTGTTTTCTCCTTTCCAGGCAGCACAGCTCCCTGCTTTGCCCACCACCTCTTTATTTATACAACAGGATCCTGCCGCTGTGTCACCAGGCACTCAAGCCAGGAGTTGTTTTTCCTGCAGCTGCAAGGAGAAAGCACAACTCTGGCCGCACAAAACTCACACCATGCGCTTGTCTGAGAGCTCACAGAAGCACTTTGAGCCAAATTTCACGTTTTACCACCGAAGAAAAAACGGCAGCAAGTGCAAGGTGCACACCTGTTGTATAAATATATGTATGTGCATATACACACACACACAGTGCTGCAATCCAAAACCTACAGCACGGGTTGGGACCTTGCTTTGTGAGCTCAGAAATCCACTTTGTAGAGTACAACGTGGTGAAAACCAGCATAGGGGGAAAAAACAATGCTGTATTCTGTTCACCTCTAGAGATGAGGGTAGTGATCACATTTAAACCACCCCCACGTCCCAGCCCACGCAAGCCAAACCTATCCCCTTGCCCTCCTTGCGGCTGCTGGGTTTCATTTTGTTCCCTAAAGAGAAGCCCGAGCAGCAAAGCCCAGCGCCAGCCGACCGGGCTGAGGCCAAAGGGTGGAATTTGAGCAGATCACACTTGGTGGAAGCCGTCACCGCGCACGGAGCACGACCACGGGCACACAGCCACGCTGCTGGCCGCGGGGGAAAAGGGAGCAGAGAAGACACCAGCACTCAAGAATGAATGGCCACTTTATAGAAGCGCTTCCTCTGTACACATACATACATATATAGAGAGCCACCAGGAACTCCCGGCGTCTACCCTTGGAGCAACAAAATCAGCTGTGCACGGAACACGGGTGCTTCGTTTCCAAACGAAGGTTTGTCTTCCACATTTATGGCATTTGACTTGTGCAAACAGAAAACAGACCGACAGCTTCCCTCGTGCGGTTCCTTCGTGTACAGAAAGCCTCGCGGAATGGAACAGGGATTCGACAGGGATTTCCATCTTGCAGAGTCCCACACAGCGCTTAAAACCTCCGAACGCAGCGCGTGGAGCAGACCAGAGTTCTTGCAGGACTCGGACACGGACAGATTTCCTGCCCCTGAGTTAGCTATCAGTCATACTTTCAGGATATTTAAGCAGTTGGTGCAATGGTACGCTACAAACTAGATGATTTCCACGACAATACAGAGAAGCGGCATCAAATGATGAAGCGAGTTAAGTTTATACCGACCTTACGCCACTAACACTTGCGCTGGGGGGTTACGATTCAGTGCTCTGATTCTAAGATTAACGCGTATTTAAACAGCATCCAGAATTATTAACACGAGGCAGGGGCCGCCAAGGGGCAACAGCCTCCCTGACTGCCTGGCGGGGATCTCCTGTTAAATATTATGCCAATATCCAGTTGCATCGGGTAGGGAAAACTGCAGCACAAGGACGTTCCCTAAACTCTCTGGAAACGTCAAGAACACTGAAGGGCACCAGACAGACGAAGGGCACAAACTACTGGAGAGAACGGGGTACCCCTCTGGAGTGCACAGGTTACAGATGCTCTGAGATGTGCCCCACTCAAAAAAAAAAAAGCACACCAGGGTCCCTCGACACCACGCAGCGTAACTGCCTTAATAAACGGGACAGGACAGGACGGGAGGGCATCTCCCAGCGGGTTCCTGCCCGGGTTCTACCTGTAGTGTTTGTAGGCTCTGAGAGGAAAGGGTTTGAAAGCTGCACTCCCCCTTCCCAGGGCACCGTCGCGGGGCTCGGCGTTGCTCAGCTCGGTGCCAACGCCGCCTCCCAGCGCGGGCGCCTCCGGTCAGACCGCAGGCTGTGCAGGACCCAACTTCCAAGAGCATCACATCGTAATACCACTAGGAGCGCTAATATCTAAAGCAGTTTAAAAATATTACAAATCTAAAAATAAGACTAAAAAGGTACGATGGCTCTAAAACATCACCGCGTGGGATCGGCAGAAATGTACACCATATCGGACACCACGGGGGCTTACAAAACCAAAAGTTATATACAGATAAATATTTAAGAACTTCCTACGTACATCACCAACAAAACGATACACGTGAAACTGCTGCAATAACCCTTCAGCAGCTCCAAGCGAGGGCGCAGTCCTCGTACCCCGTATCTGCAGGGAGTGTAGGGGGTCGGGCACCGCGAGCCCCGCACTGCCGACAGCCCCCGGCTGCTGTGCCGTGCTCAGGGCTCTCCTCACTTACCCGAAGCCACGAAGGGCACAACGAAACTCGCAGCGAAGCCAGCAGCCAGCCCTCGACACGCACAGAGTCGGGCTCTGGACGCGCTCCTCCCCGCAAGGAGGAGCCACAAAAGCGCTCAGGAAACGGGCGCTGAGCGGGGGCGGCCGCGCTCCCGGAGCTGAGGTCTCAGGCAACTCGTAAAACAAAAAACTGCGATGCAACTTTTTAAAAATAACCAAAAAAAATATCCAAGCTCAAGCGTTCATTCGGGCAGCAGGCCGAAGAGAGATGACAGCGCTCGGGTGCAGCTCTGGAAGGAAACATTCTGCAGGCAAGCAGTGCCCGCGAAGCTGCTGCTTCAGCTCTGGCAGGGACAACGCAGCGCCAGCGACTTCAGCTCAGAAATGTGCCACAATTAACAATTATTTCCAACACAACTTCGCATTTACTAGGATGAAATTTGGCCACTTGGAAGTGCAACTCCTGCTTGACATGGGATGCTCTTGTACCTTACTTCCAACAACAAAAAGAAGTGGGCATTGCCCTACCTAGCTTCTGGTTACACAATTTTAGTCTTAAAGCAGCAACGTTTAAATAACTTTTTTTGTAGAGTTCAGGAAGAAAGACGTTACTATACAATAATATTAAATTCAGAGGTCTGAGGAGGAATACAGGCAAACTAAGACTGTTTCAAAAAATATGAGTATTTGCCTAAAAAGGCTTTTTCTCCTCATTCCCTGTGAGTGGGATCTCAGCGTAGCTTCCCTCGGAGCATCTAGCAGCACTCAGACCAATCCCCTACACCCACAGAAACAACCCAAAGGAAAGCAAAGCAGCAACTCTCGCTAAACAAGGAACCAAACCAGGCGGTTTCCCCTGGATGTCAACTTTCCGAGCAGTGCAGAACGCAGATGAAGGCATCGCCTCCACCCTCCCTTTGCCCCACACATCAGACCTGCTGTCAGCTCTCCCGCACGGCTTCCCCGCGCTGTCACTGCCTCCTCGCACCCCGATGCCAGCCCCGGCGCACTCGCTCGCTCTCCTGGCCGCTCGCTGCTCCCCATCAGCTTTTTTTGGGGTCAAAAGAGGTGCCTGGGGGTTAAGGAACAGAAGCACAGTCAAAGCTTTTTGTTACACGTCCCGATGAACGCGTGGAGATGGGAGAAACACACGCAGAGCGTACGGGGAAACAGCCTTCATCTCGCTCTACCCAGTCAATCGTATCAACTGCGCTCATTTAAAAAGCCAAAAAATCCCCCAGGGCGGTTTTGTTTGTTTAAGCTGACAACATCGACTGATCTGCGTGGATTACAGGGGCCATTCGAACCAGCGAGTTCTCAGGGAAGGGAGCCTGTAGAGAAATTCAAGCATAATCCAGGGTGCAATTCAACAGCCAGAACCAGCGCCGGGCAAAACCTACAAGGACAGCCTACGTGATGTCATTTTTTTAAGCTTTAAAATTGCTTTTCTTTCCAAGGGGTCAAACAAAGACTTAATTGAAGACCTTGAGCCAAATCAGAGCTGTCCTCAAGCCCACTCAAGAAAGTTTTCCTGACAAATCAGAATCTTTCACTAACCCACAACGTTTCAGGTCTGAAGGCCTATCCACGAGGCAGAAGTTAACAAATTTGCTCCTTACATCTCGTCAGTTTTCATTTTTGGAACCTGATGTGGTGACAAAAGCATGCTTATTTGCAACAGGCGAGCAATAAACATGGGTTTGTACCAAGAGTGACAGTAAGATCCCACTTTGCACGCGTTCCTCCCTCGGTGTTTAGACTGTTTTTATAACATTTTCTTCTACCCAGTGCGTTGAGCGTGGCTTCACATCAGATTTTATGTGCTCTATCATTTCCAGCTCATGCACAGATGGAGCGAAAATAAATTCAGAAAGATTCCCTGGCAGGAGGGTACCCTTCATTCGCTGGCAGCTCCCACAGCCTGACAGTGCTTTTTTTTTTTTTTTTTTTACCCCATTCGTAACGCCTGGACCTTAAAAGAGCAGCGGGAGAGACCTTCAAAGCACACCCCGGACGGGAGGCTGTAAATAGCCTCAGGACAGAATCAGGTGAAAAATGAAAAAGGGGAGATGAGGGTACAAAGAACGGTAGAGGCATTGTGATATAAAACCATAAGAGCAGAATTAACGAGGCTGTAATTAACTGCTAGAAGCGCCACACGTAGGCTTACTGGTAGCTGCTCTAGATCCCGGCTCCGTATGACCTAAACCAAGAGAATTAACAACAAAATACACCAGCGATTCAGCAGCGGACTAAAATGCCTCTTTAACAGTTAAACAAATCTCAGTCAACCACAGTTTCAAGAGAAGTATTCAAACATTATTGGCTTCACAACAGAACAGGAAACCTTTCAATGGTTTCCCCACAGTTGTTCCGAGGAAAAGAAAAACTGGTGTAAACAAGTCTAAACGCAAAACAATGTGCAAATTATACAATATAAACATAAAGAAAGGTGGTTTGTTCTTAAAAAGCCATTTAAGTGCTCCACAAAGATGCTCATGAGAAAATTAAAGGGCTAATGGATTATAAAAACACGTAATACCCCATTTGTCTCTTAGTATCTCAGAATATTAGAGAAAAATGTAAAAGCCAATTATTATTATTATTATTTTTTAACATTTATGCTGTTGCCTGTCTGTATTTTATCCACTTGCTCGGTGAAAACCAATGAACCAGTTTCACTTTAAGATTCTCATGCATTCCGAAAAGCTGCACTATTTGGTCTTTAGCATTTCAGGAAAAGTCAAACCAAACCAGAATTGTGCTTGCAGTTAAAATCCCACCGCCACCACCAACGAAACCCATTCACAGTTGGTTTTGTGACAAACTACAGCTTGTGATTACACTGACACTGAGGATAACCCTTACGCATAAAGAGGTGTTCATCAATTTACCTGTTCAAAGATTGGAAACTCTCCCTTCTTATTTTTCAAGGTAGATTTATTTAAGCTGAAAACCAGCATTAAAGAGAACTCCAGCTCTGCAGGACTGGCATTTTTTTTTTTTGGTTCTTGGCTTTGTAAACTTGCTTAAACAATGCAGGAATAAGAGAATTGGCTTGCTGCACCCAAATGAAAATCATGAACTTTTAAAGGTCTTTGACAGCTTGGCTGTATGAAAAAATGGTGGCTTCTGTGAAACTTTTTCTTTTTAAATCTCATTTTTAGGCCAGTACTACTGCTTAAAATGCAGAATGTCTCCCTCACACATATTGTGACAACTCAATACATTACACCACAGACATTTAACATAACTCCATACATGCTATAAAAAAAAAAAAGAGAGAAAGAAAACATAAAACCGTAGCTAAACTGCTTTAAATACTGCATGCTACAGCACTTCACGTATCATCAAGATACGACACTGAAAGGTGACAAAAGGCTGAAGGGATTACAAAATATTCTCGGCAGGTTGGAAAGCTGCCTTCTTACTCTGGCAGAATTTTTTCCCCCTCCCCATTCTCTACTTCTAATGTTCATGATTCTAGTGTTGAGTTGGCCATGTAATTTTTTATCCATTCTAATTACAGTGTTTCCTTAACTTAATTAAATCCATCAGTGTGGTAGCTGGGGTGAGAGTCAGCTGTGAGCTGGGTCGTCTCTGTGGCTGATGCTGGCTGTATCACAATAGGTGCGTCTGAGGCCTCTGAAAAGCAAAGACAAAAGGTTTAGCACGTCAAGCAGAAGAAAAAGCAGCGTTCTGTGGTGTGGCAAGCGGAAGGTCCGTCTCCCTGCAACACTTTGATAACACAATTTTACACTCCTCTAGAGCACGGTGAGGATTTATGGTCTTTCAGTCTGCACACACTGCCATTAGCCTGGCAATAAATGTTCCGTACGTAGCTTTTATTTCTTTCTGCATTTAAGAGCAGCTGCTGCTCTCCCACCATTCAGCAATAGCAGTTACAAACATCATCAGAGCACACCCAGGACACTACTGAGCAGGCTGGGGGTGCATGAGGAGCTGGGAGGGGACAGAACCAGATGGGGGCTGCCATCACTCGGTCACTGGTCAGCAGGTGGTGAGCAACTGCCTTGTGCATCACTTTATCTGTTCTTTTTGTTGTTATTTTAATTTCTTTCACTTTTTCCCCCCTCTTTCTTATTAAGCTGTCCTTATCTCAACCCACGAGTTCTTTTACTTTTCTTTTCATTCTCTCCCCCCGTCCCACTGGGCGGGGAGCGAGCGAATGGCTCCCTGCTCAGCTGCCCGCTGGGTTAAACCACAGCAGACACCCATTTCTCCGAAGCTGAACCCAAGTTCAGCAAAGACCCACGGGGACTTCTCAGCAGCTGTATTCCTGTGGTGGTGTTACCCGTGTAACCATTTAAACTCTGGTGCTTCTTCTCCCCCAGAGACCTGTGCTGATCTCTCTTCAAAGCCAGCACTGCTCCTTAAATAGCCCACTGAGCACGAGGTCAGAGACCGATGCTCTCTGAACATCGGTCATCCTACACTTGTACAAATCTCACAATTTATTTATTATTATTTTTTACCTACCCCTTTCATCTGACTGCAACTGTGCCTCCAAGTCCTCTGGAGAGACGTAGTATTCCTGCTCTTCGCCTTCAGGAGGTTTAGGTTTACACTTCCCACAGCAACAATTACAGCAGCAGCACAGACAGCAACAGCAATAGCAGCCTGTGATGAGCCCACAGAACACAAACAAGGCCTGCAGAGGACAGAAGATAAAGAAATGTTCATAATCTACGCCCACCACGCCGCGACCACTGAGTTTGTGAGACTTTGATATGGAAACTAGAGACAAAAAAAAAAAGTGATGTAGAGGCATAACATATTGGCTACGTTTTTATATTTAACCACCGTGAGGTATTTAAAATATGTGCAAAAACTGGTGACAGCTATGAACATTTTCTACTGAGCTGAATACTGTCAGTCTGGTTTACTTGAAGAAATTCCTAGAAATTAGGTTTAAGTGGTCTGTGTTTTCTGCTACATCTGCAAGATGACGCTGAAGCAAATCTGTAGTGAAATCCAGAGGTACAATAGTTTCAGACAGACTGGAGTCTGCATAATATCCCTGGCCCAGATTTACACTAGCTAGCCGACGTACGGATTGTCATGTACCTACAGCAGGGACTTACCCAAGGCCGTAGGCATGGCTGCAAAGCTAAATCACACTGAAGTTAGGAGATTAGATCCTACCACTACCTGAGCAAACCAACACAAAGCTAGCTGAGCCTGTCTGGGTGCCCATCACTGTGAGGCAAAATTCATGAAAATGAATTTTCATGAGCAAAATGAAAATTTTCAGAGGTCACTGCCTAAAACTGTTTGAAAAAATCACCGTACAAGATAGCAAATCACTCTGATTTGGGGACTTCACTTCCTACAAGGGGACAGAGAGATAGAGACAGGCAACAGGGTAGAAAAACAAGACATATTATGCTTAAAAATGAGTCCAGTAAAATAACTTCCTTGGTGCTAAGAGAAGACGTCTATACAATAATTATTTCACCTTTTAAAAAAAGCTTTAAAAGTATTTGTGAAGAAACATGCAGTGCAATTTGGTACACTGTGAGACTCTTCTACTGTACAAGAAACAATGATTGGCAAGTGAACAAATAATCTGGAGTCTGTGAAATCACAGTTAAAAGGTTAAATTACAAGGTGTCAGAGATTCAACAAGTTCCAGAAGTAAAAGCAAACACCATTTTCAAACGGAGTTCTTTAAGGATTTTAAATGTCAATCCAGAACAACTTCTCCTTGCACTTTTATTTACCTTTGCCCACCAGCTGGATAGGACGAAATACGTGTTCACATTTTCTTCACCAAACTGCTCTGCTACATACAGACCCAGAGAACCATACTTATCATAAATGTTTCGCTTCGTTGCATCGGTCAATATTGCATGTGCATTATTGATCTCTTTGAATTTTTCTGCTGCCTCTGGATTATCAGGGTTTTTATCAGGATGGTATTTCAATGCAAGTTTCCTGCAGAAAGAAAAAGAGTATAGATTAAAAAATGGGATTTGTGTTCCCCATCCCCACCACCTCCCTGTTCCATAGCCTGCCACTCAGGAGAGGTTTTCAAGTCCCCATTGAAAGTATCTAAGCAGCTCTGGTTTCCTTCATTTCTGATTCACTTCCCTGTTGATAACAAAACACTGCTGCACTGTCTAGCTTAATTTGCAGGATTGATTTCAGACTGCTGGATTGAATCCTCAGAAATCCACTGGAAAAATTCAGCACAATGAAGAAAAGAAGAAAGCACTCCCTTCTACCCCTCAGCCCCAGCAATTTCCACCAGTAGGTTTTCGTGCTGCTGAAGCAAAAACCAAGCTAACAGAAGAAAGAGACACCTCATGTTTATGATACAGTATCAAAGAGTAAATATAAGCAAGCTGCCACAACTTATCTACAGTGGTGGAACACAAAAATAGAACAGACAATCACTTGTGGTTAATTCACCAGTTCCTGTGCAGGTACAAAATACATTTCAGTTCAAGTCTTGCTAGAACAGAACTGGCTTTCGAGTTTCGAAATATCAGGAAATTTTAACGTACCTCCCCATATCATCCGAGATCTTACAACTAAATGATAGCGGTTTACAGCACCCTGAGGTCACGAAGGATAGCACAAAAATCCAAAAGTTTAAGGACTGATGAATTTGCAAGTGCAGACACGGCCCAAGCAGTGAAAGAAATCAGTACTGGCCAAACACCTCTCTAACGAACACAGAAAAAACACTGCTTGGCCATTTGAGCCATTTGTGCTCCAAAGCAGAAAATGATTTGGAATTCTATGATTCACATATTCCGTAGCCCGCAGGCCAGCAAAGGACATCCCAGATCAAATGGAACAAAAACGAGGTGGCCAATAAAAGAGCAGAGGCAACAAGACAAGGTGAAATTTCAGATACACATTAAGCAGCTCCATTCCCCCTTGGATCCAGTCGAGTCCTTCCTCCAAAGGAAAAAAAGTTTGCAGTTTTCACCCCCATGAGTGAAGTCATTTTCTGGTCACTGAGGCTAGAGGACTTACTGCCTCAAACTTCCAGTTAGAAGATTTTAGAAAGCCATAGCTAATTCTGGATAGTTTGTCTGCCTCATTTATTCATGGGTTTCACTCTGTAAGAGCTATCAGTATTAAAAAGTGACTTGGAAAGGGAAAAAGGGTTTGGTAAATGTTGAAAACTAGAAGGAAACTTATGTATTCTCAAGTAAAGATTTCTACTGACCCCTAGTGTAATGTTAAACACACTGCCACTTGCCAAATAACATGACCATACGTACGTAGCTCATGCTTAAGGTAAAAAAAGCAATTGCATATAAGCAAGTCTGGGGTGAATGTGGGAAGATAGGATGGGTACAGGACTTGAAGTTTTTACTTGGTCAATGTGAAGCCACTTCACATGTCCAACTTTAAGAAAAGAGGTAAAAAAATCCAATTTTAAAACTAACTCCACATGAAGTAAGAAATTTTGCATGTAATTTTAGAAAGAATTGTCAGTCCCCATCCTTGTTTACATCTTCAGTCTGCACCTCACTGTGTCAGAACTAGAAGTGATGGATAAAGGAGCAGGACTGCCCAGCTGTGTTCTCTAAGCCAGGCACAAAGCTACAGAACGGAAATGAGGAGTTAAACTCTGATCCCAGACTTAAAACATGGTTCAACTTTCAGATAAAGAACTTGCAGAATGATGCTGCACATTTGAGAATTCAACTTGCTATAAAGAACATTTAGGGATCTAACAAGTCTTGCACACAAAGTCTAGGCATGGTTTCCACACAATTTTTAAAAGAAACCACAGTGTTTTCACCTGGTATCCTTGCAAATTTTTCTTGCAAACGTTTTAAATAAACCAACATGAGCCTAAACATAAATACCACATCTGTTGAACACTTAAAAAGCTATTTGTGGTATCGGGCAACAGGTGTAAGACTCAAACCCTTACCTGTATGACTTTTTAATATCATCAGAAGTAGCATTCTTGTCCAGTCCTAGCACGTGGTATAACGATTCTCCAGAGGTAGACAGCGAACGTTGCCTCTGGTCTGCCATCTTAACTAGCCTGAACAGAGGAGTGGTCCCTGGAAAAAAAAATAAAAAATTAAGAAATGCTTAAACTAAAAAGAACAAAGACCTTATTACAGAAATCAGCCTTGAAAAAAGAGGCTTCAGGGTATGAGAACTGCATGTGAAAATTCACCTTGTAGGTTTTAACAGGTGTCGAAGAGAAAAAGCTCTTAATATATGTGGAAGTTAAAAAGTTTTTAAAAAAAACAACAGTGCATTATCAGTGAAAACTGCTACACCTTCAACACAGCAGCAGGTCCTACAGAATCACCAGTGTATATTCTCAATTCCACTCTTTAAAAAAATAAAATAAAAATCGACAGCTGAAGCATAGCTACAGGTATGTCCCGCATACACATCCCTAATGCTATTCATCTTTGTCTTAATGTTATTTATGCATGACAACAGCTAGAAAAATAACTGGACAACAGCGAGGCTGCTGTCACACTGAGGCTGCCTTTTTGCACCACAGGTGCACGGGGTAAGCACAAAGCTCCGCGTCCATCTCCCCCCTAAGAACCAAAATCTGTGAATCAACCATTTAACTTGTCTTCTATATAAATCACACTATGGAAAGCGACAGCCTCCTGCTCTAAATTCAGATGTGCAGACCTCGGAGGTCTCCCCGGCGACACGGCGCAGACAGATATGGATACGCCCTCTAACATCCTTAGGAGATTAGCATCTGCCGTTCTTTAGCTGCAGAACTGCAGCGAGGATGAGCATCGAAGAGAAGACTATTGGCTATTTTTGGATTATGTCATTACAGCTAGCCCACACCAGATTATGTAGACTTTGAAAAAGATATTTAAAGCACCAGACTTTTCAAATTTAACCCTTTGTCTTATATAACAAAGTTAATAACTTCAGCTTTTTTAAATGCTACCTAAAAGAAATACTCAAAGATCTGTCACTACCTGGTTCTTGATTCTCAGAGCCTACCTGGTAACTACTCTGCTGCGTTTGGCTTCCCCAGCTTTAATTAGTTTAATGCCGATAACTGGGTCTGGTTTTGGTAACTGGAGTGCAGCTGCTGAACTAGTAAACTCTCATCTAATTTCCTTCAAGAAGTCACTGGCAGCTCTGGTAAGTTTAATTAAATGCTACCTAATAAAGAAGTGGTAAATTAATAATGATGATGATGATAACAGTCGTAAGAATAGCAGCAGCTCTAAATTCATAGGCCAAGAATCCAAAATACACTCCAAGTCAGGAAGGAGGATATGTGTGTAGGAAGAAAAAAATCTTTTATTTTTTTCCCCTTTTAAAAAAAAAAAGAAAGAAAAAAAAGACAGTGATAAGCTACTGAACCGTTTCCACAGGAGAGAAAAAATATCAAGGAGAGGAAAACCATCAAGAACCACCCCGTCCAAGAGCACAGGAGACAAAACACCCTCCAGGATGGTCTTTCCACGCCTGCCACCACCAGCCTGTCCCCCAAGCAGTCCCACTACAGAGGTCAAAGACTGGTGATCCTGACGTGGATCCAGTAATCTAGCTAATCACACAGGCTGCCCCGATGGCTGCGCAGGCTCCTACGCTCCATTCTCATCCACCAAGAGCACCACCTCTTCCTGGGAAATTCTCTTGCACTTTCTATCAAGCCCACGGGCTGTGAGCAGCATCCAGCCCTAGGGATGCTCTTCTCTGGCACTTCACTACCTGTGTTTAGCAGTCTGTAGCTCCACTTAGGCAAAACGAGCTCCCTTTCAAATCAATCCAACACGCCCCTGGCACACAGATGCTGCAGATCACAGGTACACACCATGTTCTGCTTAATAAAATCCCTACTGTTAAATGAGGGCCAATTGGCTTAGTAGAAACTAAATTCAATTTGATGCAGGCTGTGGCTATCAGTCTGTAGGCTGCTTGTCAAGAATAAAGACAGTTATAGGAATAAAATCTCATGCTGCTACAATTTTTTAATCATTTTCATCTGAAAAGTTCAGGGTAGGGGGGTGCTTGCATTTACTTTTCAATACTGGAACGAAGAGGACATGGAGGCATTGGCAGAAGAATTGAGGCCGAGGTGGTAACAGGAATTCACCTGGGAAACTTGTTATTTAAAGGATCAGAACAGCCTTATGACTACGAAAGCAACCTTTGGCTTTTCAAATACGGAACAGAATTACAAATCCAATAAAGGTGCGAGTTATTTAAGTTTACAGGACTTCATAAAGCAGGATATTGCCTACCCTCCTGTTTTTACAAGTGGCTCTAACTCACAGCACAGCTCTGTTTTTAAAGAAGTGTTGTACCCAGCAGTAACAAGGCATCTGCTGCGTGTTCTAAGCGAGCAGGATTCCCTGAAGAGGTTTCGCTCAGAAGGTCCTGAAGAAAGGTAATCCCCCGGATTAAACAGCACAGTTTTTAACCAGCTGTGTACCAGACTGCCCCGCATTAGTCAGCTTTAATAGAACATGCAACTGCTCTCAGCGTGGCCAGATAAGTGTAATCAGCACCAGCTTAACAAAAAGAATTAGATTAAACCTGGACAGTTACAGGAAAACTGTGTATAAATATTTTATACACATCAGTGGTAAACTGGGCCTTAGAAAGACTGATTTTCTTTTTAACTTCTCAAAAGAATCCTATCAAGCTTCCTGAAATTGTTGGTATGTTTCTTTCTGCCAGGTTTGCCGCTTCTTAGACCCTTTTATAACCTGAATTTAAGCCATCAAAATGACAGACTACAATTACAGCAAAGAAAAAAGGATAGTTCCCTGCTATTTTTTGGGGACATCCCAGTGAGTATCAGCACCAAGGATGACAGCAGATCAGGTGGTTAGAAGCAAGGAGGGCTCAAACTTCTCCCTTTTAAACCTTCCCAGCCTCCAAACCTGGCCCGGCCACGCCTGCCCCTTCAGCCTGAGACCTCCCGAGCTAGCAGCTTGCTGCTGGCAGGAGGGGCCCTGCCTCCTTCTCTCCCAGCCCCAGCAGTGAATTTCCACCACTCCTCCAGCCCTGGCTCTGGCAAGCAGCGGATCCTGCAGCAATAAGGCGCAGGGACCTGAACTAGAAGGGGGCAGCAAGCGAGGCATCAACTTTTCCAAGACACCAAGCTTATTTGTGTGGTAGGAAGGAGGGGGGAGGTTACAGAAGTCACATCTCTGCTGGAAAGAAGCACAACCTGGAGTAATACAGTGATGGAGGGCTAATTTGACAGAGGGTAAGCATTATTTCAGTGCCATCAGCATCCACGAGCTGCCTAACAACAGCAGCTTTCCACTTCACTCCAAGGCTGGGGCATTAAATATTTAGTCGTTAACAAACCTTCGGAAACTATAGCGCCAAGCTGCCTAAAATATCCCTTTCCACATTTCAAATTCTTTTTTTTTGTTTTGTTTTGTTTTCCATGTAAGCCACAAAGGCACAGCTGCTCGCCTGGAATTCCTCACTGGGGGAGAGGCTCGGGGAAAAGAGCTGCGGATGCTCAGCACCACCACCAAGTCTGGAAGGGGCAGGGGAAACCGAATAACTTTCGGAACACTACCACAGAAGAACATTAGGTAAAATATGAGAAAATGAAATGCAAAGCCATGCTGGAAGTGCAGGGCAGGAACCGAAGAGACAGGCTCTTCCCACACAGCTGCAGGAAACCACAAAAGCCAGCACTCACCTGGAATCTCGTTGGACTATTCTGAGGTAAGCGGTAACTGCTCGCAGGCACCTCCAGAACCGAATCTCCTAAAGACAGAACAAAAGCAAGTAAGTTTTTCACTGACTTACGTTGAGGACTCGTTGCCAAGTTGTCATCCCATTATTTTGTCGGAACAATCCTTTGCAACGTGCTAAAGATGAGAAGGAAGTGAAATAAAAAAGTTAACCTAATTATGCAGAATTTTCACTTGAAGTAGATAAATATTGGAGCTGTCGGGAAGGCGGAGGCACACTGCAGCCAGGACAGTCACCACGCATACACCTTCCCACCACGTGGTCAGCTGGCATCAAGGAACATATTTTGAAGGCTGCATCTCAGTATTTCCAGCATGCTTTCACTCACACACTGCCTTGCTGTCAATGTCCCAAATAAAACAAGAGTATTTTTATTCCCCAAAATATCTTACACTACAGGAAATCTCCACAATGTAAAATATTATCTTCAGAAATGATTAGGTCAAATGAAGTTAGAAATACTTGAATCTGTACTTTAAAGGGCTCTGGGCTTCTATCTGTAACTTCAGCCTCTTCTCCCAAACCTCCTACACGCAGACAAGCACGTAACCAAAATAAGATGCCAGGCACGCAGATAGCTCTGGGCACACACAAACCACTTATCAGTAAGACTTCAGGCTTTTTCTTCTTAGGCATTTGTGAAAGATCTGGACTTTCAACAAGGGAAGTGTGTTTTTTAAGTCCTGAGAACCTGTAATGTTGTTAGAGAGAGACTGCTAAAGAAGCTTAGCTAGCAGGAGGACCGCACAAGCAGGCACTCAGCCTCTCCTGCCTCCCTCGGCAGGGATGCGAGGCTACCCACGGCACTGCAACTCCTGCACAGCACAGAGGGTTTAGCAGTGTTCATATCTCAGGTGCCTTCCTGACCAACATATATATTTATTTTTATTTTCAGTGGAAGAACAGCACTGCCTGTACTGCACCTTTCTTCACAGGTAGTAACAGCACTGCTGCTCTGATGACCAAGACACGTAAGGAGACAGCAGCTGCACTCTGCCAATTTCAACGTCATTTTACACACCATCCAGACTGCTCCATGTGCTTCCACTGGACAGCAACATCAGCTCATTTTGCCAGGGCAAATTTCCATCAAGAAAACCTCACTTTTAACCCAAAGGATGGTTCTTGAGCCCTTAATAATATGATTGAACTTCTGGTTAGCCCTGAAGTGGTCGGGCAGTTGGACATGATGGTCTTTTAAGGTCCCTTCCAACCAAACTATTCTATTCTAATTCCCATTCCTGTGCTCTGAAGCAGATTGCAGAGGGAGAAAACAAACCTCACTTCAGCATACAAGGAGGGAGAGAACCTGAAGTGATACAGCAACAGAGAATACTTCTTCTGTTGGTCAAAACAAAGTCACACGGGCTGCTGCGGACCATGAAAACAAGAGAAGATGAACAGAGGGACCTTCAAAAAGCTAGATGGTGCTGCAGAAAACCTTAGGGAAAAGCCATCACTGCAATAAATTGGAATTTATTTCTGATTAAACAGGTACAGAACAAACCTAGCCCACGCCAGGAGTCACAAAGCCACTTCTGATTAGATCAGAGCACAGTCAACTTCGTCTCCTCCTTCCTGCTGCCGCCAGCGGGGCACCAGCCGCAGGGCGCCCCCGGCTCTCCTGCACCGCGGCCGGCAGCTCCTCGGCTCCACATCACACCCTGCCTGGAGCTACCCCCGGGTATCAGAACAGAAACAAAGGGAGAGAAAACAAAAGGACAAAAATCTGCAAAGAAAAAGGAATTGTTTTTAAAAAAAAAATCAAGATCAATGGATGTTACCTGGTTCCAAACAACTCAGCAGTATTAAAACCACGGCAAGAAGTTTTGTAGCACAAATGAAGAAACACGCTCGGGACACTTGCCTGCTCTTTCAACTACTTTGCTCATACCAACACCAGTTCTTCTAACTTCACTTGTCCTGCAAATTTGCATCCAATCAGCTAAAATGTATTATACATTTTCTACATACACTGCCTGTAGGTCGTGTTCAGCACCTTTTCTTCCTCCAAGAGATATAAGCCAACTTTTCAACTTTTCCTTACAGAAATCAGACGTTCCCAGATCTACTCCTTTGTGATAAAACCATATTTTTTCTCCTCTCTGCCCTAACCTCGTCTGACGCATGCCAGAGAACCATTATTATTCAACAACTGCATGAACGGAACTATCATCATCCTGCGAGGTCATCAGCAGAAAGTGAAGCATCTTCAGGATGCCTTGCTTCAAAAACTACGTCATGTACATGAACTATCCCACACCCATCCAAGTATTTAAAGGATTAATGCTGCAATTAAGGCATAAAAAATACAATTGGTAAACAGAACAGAAACTCCCATTTTTTTTTCTCATGTCCTTATTTGCTCACATCCCTTCTAAGATGAACCAGTAGTAGAAAAATGATGTGAAAAGCTGAAGGTAAAGCACACTGGTGGGTAACTACACCCTGACAAGTACTATTAGCTGTTATACTCTTGGTAAATGTTCTCCTAGCTGCCTTGAAATACTTGAGTTTTACCCAAGACATCTATCTACAAAAACCTTGTTCCAAGAGGCTTTTAAACTACAGAAATTGAGGAACATCCTACAAATCCTACATACCAGAAGAATTGTTTCTCTTTCACTTTACCACTGAAACAGAAGCCTGCATCGAAGCATTGCACTGTGACTCACACGTGCCTTCTACTGAAGTTTGAATCAAAAGTTGGTAAAGTATAATTGCAGAAAGCTGTAAATGGACCTTTCTGACTTTAATCCTGAAGAGCACATTGACTCCAGACAGTTTTAACATGTAAATACCCAGGTAAGGCTGACCTAAGAGCCACAGAATTAATTCCAAATGCACGCATCTTTCTCCTGCAAAGAGCCCCAATTTATCTCCCTTTGGAACAGAAGATGGGTCTCCAGCAGTGGAAGTGTTCATAAAATCTCCACTGAATCCTCTAAAGTAGAAGTGGGTTAAAAAACAGTTTTTAAAATAAATGAAGTCCCAGGCAACCCAACTTCCCTGTTGATTCAGGCCTAGCCTGAGATAAGGCCCATCATTACGGACTGAGGCTGCACTGAAACTTGGAGCAAACTTAACTACAGCACCGCGAGTGTTGTTGCTCTAATAAGCTTAGCAGATTAAAATGCAGCCATTTAAGTCTGATTGACCAACCTGTTATAAAAACTTGTGACCTTGGACCTTACACTAGAGTAAGATTCAAACCTACTAAGGAATGGTTTCTGTATCATGAAAAAAAAATAACTATTAGATTTACATTTTCTATCCCCCTCAGCTAGAAGAATTATTCTTTAAAACCTTGTTTTAGGATAGATTCCCTGCTTAGGATTTCATTTCTCCTACCTAATCCTTTAGCAAAATTAAATTATTGCTTATGGCATTACAGTAGTTTATAGGTCAGAGTGCAAATGTCACAAATTAGATATGGCTACGAAAATAACTGTATTTGCTTACTCGGCTATCTAAAAATTTAAGAAAAAACAGCAGTTGTGTTGCTTGCCTCGTTATTACTCCTAAATGTTTCTCCATGAACACCTACATGGCATTTGGATCACTGACCACTCATAGCATGTGGGTGCACTAAAACCAATCAGGGAAAGCATTCAGTGCTGCAGGTGAGTGATGCTAATGTCACTTATTTATTCTAAAAAAGGAGATCTTGCACATTTTAAAAGCATTTGAAGAGGTGCAGCTCCTTCCACGCTAGCTGAGTTGAATAAACTATCATTAAAAGTCCTATTGCTACGAACTACACCAATGGAGTAAAGCATTAAGCTTCAAATACAGAAGTGTCAGAACAAACACATGGGTTTATTTGCATAAAAATACAGCTCACACTGCTAAGCAACACTTGCAGGGGGTAAAACAACTGAAGGTGTTGTATTAAAAGTCCAAACCCAGGTGCCCACGGGGCAGAAGCTCAGCAAAGTGGATCAGGCTGGCAAAACGAGCCCACCAAACCCTCTGTAGGTTGCTCCAAGCACCTTGCTGCTTTTTGGGGTCAGGCCGAGCTGTGTGTAGCTGCAGACAAGCCGTGCAGGAAAGCCAGGCAGCTCCAGGTGGGTGAGGGAAGCCCGGCCGCCCAGCAGCACCTTCTTGCAGCACAGGCGGTTTTTGGCGAGCCAAAAAAAAAAAGGAACAAGGAAAGGTTACGCAGTGCATCTCAGAAAAGCCACGTAAGCAGGCCGAGACACAAAAAAAACGATGCCGTGACATTCCCAAACACGAACCCATCTTTCAAGTTACAAATTGTCCACCGAAGGGAGATTTATTAGAAATTAATTTGCGAGGGCAGGGCCAGATTAACCCGTGCGCATCTACAGCAGCAAGAGAGGGAGAAAAAAAATCCATCTGTCTTCTTTTGCTACCAGCCAGGGAGGCAGACTAAAAGGTAAGTTCTTCCCCCACATCAGGACAGGAATATATGAGCATGGCTTTACACAGTGCAAGCGGTAGACCTGAATTATTTCACAACTAATTGATTACTGCAGTTGTCCATCATTAAATAAACTCTTGGCCATTTCAATCATGAAGTTTTTGTTACTGACTTAATAGTTTAATGCATAAAAAAGCAAAACCCACCAGGCTGTACCAGCAATAGAAGGTAATTTGCACAAGTTCAACCTGGTCTAAAATAAAATGATCGAGTCAAACGTTTTATTTTGAGAACCTTTACCTCTGTTTTCAGGTCATTAATCTCTGCCATTCAGCTGTCTGTTAATTATCTCTTCCCCAGGCCAGCACACAGATCTCCCTCTTCAAAAGTCAGGAATAAAAACGCAAAAGAAGCAGAACACCAGCAGAATTTGGAAAGCCAAACAGATACAGCCACCCTCCAAGTCACACAGGTCAGGAAAAAAAAGGCTGAAGTGCCTTTGTCTGACACCAGAAACCAATGTAACTGGCTCTGTTAAGCCACGTCCTCTCTTCCTACTTCACAGGTACTAAAAATCTACAAAATTTCACCTTTTTTTCCCTTAACTATCAAGACAGAAAAGAAGAAG